AAATGTATTTGTAACATTAAAAACCAAAATCATAAAAAACTGAAACAAAAATGTCCGGTGCTTAACCTATTTTTTTCAGACCACCAGCCAAAGTAAGGTTTATGCCACAGCTGTCCTAAATTAACAATAAATAATTTTTCATGCTTCTGTATTGGTTAATCCACCAGGGTGCGCTCTTTAAAGTCTTTAATCAAAATGATATATTAAATCCTAATTATTGTTATCCGTGAATTTTCAAATTTGATATTTTACCAAAAGAAGCGGGGAAAGAATTAAAGCACTTTATTTTTTGATTAAGATGCTAAATTATAGTTTTTAACTTGCATTGTGGAAACGTTATTCTTGATTATTTTCAAATTTGTGCTCAAATTTTGGTATAAAAACGTCAGTTCAGTTCAGCAAATGTTTAGTTTGTGTTTTCTTGTTTTTATGACAGGTGGTCTTAAAAACCAAGTGATGTTTTTGTGCTGGATTCTTTATGTTTAGCAAAAACTAAGCATCATTCATGGATACAAAAATTCCAAAGGGTCGTTAGGACCCTTGATCAAGAACAAGTAAATGTGTTAACTGTCAAACCAGTTCAGGATTTCAATATTTTGCTTTTTCAATAACTTCATTTTATTAATAAAAAGGAAGATGGCCAAAGCCTGGGAAATATATTAACCTGAGAAAGCGGCGCTGTCACACGAGCCGCTGAAACCAAATAAGGCCAAAGCTGAGCTCAGGCTCTACAGGCTGAAAAGGGAATTGAGATGAAAGAGGAGAGGAAGAGGGACAGAGAAAAGTAAAAGGGAGGAGGGAGAGCGATCAGATGAGAGAAGAGAGGGAGATGGAGAGAGGGGAAAGGTCTTCACATTGAAAAGAGAATTGAATTTAGAGAGGGGGTGGGGGTGGTAGGAAAGGACAAAGTGAGGGAAAGAGTCAAGAGCAGCCAGCCATTATTACCACTGACCCTCCTTGGTACTCAATAGAACTGGTTTATTAGCTTTCCTTCCCACTCCGAGTGTGTGTGTGTGCACATGTATGTTTCTGAAGCATGTCTGCACATCTTCCTAGTTTTACTGGCAGCATTTTTATTTCTTGAGTTGAGATGAGCTGTTTGTATTTAGTCTTATATGTGAGATGAATTCAGATGTTAGGGCTTCTATTCTAGTCATGCATACGCGTAGTTACTTGGGCCTCAAGAGGAAGTGAAGGTATTTATAGTGGCTAGTCTAGCGTGCTTGAAGTTGATATTTTTGGAGGGGTTAAACACCTGGTCAAAATCATCAGAGTGTGGAGGAAATGTATGGCGAGCATAACTTGTAAAGAGAGATAGAGAAGGGCAGACGGGCTTGGATCGTAACAGTCGCGTTGTATTCTCAGAGTGATGAATGGAGAGTCGACAACAGGGGAATAAATGCTCAGTTTCTTCTTAATATAATCATTAATTATGTTCGTCTCCACAGACAATAAAACTGTTAAAAGCTTTTTTAATCATTCCATCACAGGCTAAAACAGAACAACACTAAAACAATGCTCAAATTCACACCATCAACCAGTTTAGACTAATTTCCTCATAAAAGAACAACCTGAAATCCTGAATCCTGAATTAACAATTAGCTATTTGAAAAACTATAGTGCTTTAAAAGCACCTGGAAATCATTTTTGGAATCAGCTTTTTACTATAACGTTCAATGAAGTACAAAGTAAGCCATAAAAAGTTGTCAGAGTACTTTTCGTAGTTCACAAAAAGCTTCTGATTAAACGCATTTCTTTTGTGGTGTCATTCCCGAGTCGAAGAGGGCTGTTTCAAGTTTGATGATAATTGCGATGGTGCTGCTGCTAACAGGCCACTGTCAATCAAATCCAATATACAGTAATTGTCTGAACTTTGCACTGAAAGGTTTCATTAAAACCAAAGCACTAATTAATCTGCTGCTATCTAGTAATGCTGAACTAATGCTCTGCCAACACTCATTTTAATACTACTAGCAACAATGCCACGTGAACTGACTATTCCAATCATATATACTCATTTAGTCACCTGCAGTAGTGTGAGGAGTAGCTGAGACAAACTTCATAAACTGGCATAGAGACAAGGTATTTAAATACTATAGTTTGCGTCAATTAAGTAACAGATACTTAATTCCTGTTTTCTTCATTTCTATTTTTGAATGTTACTTTGGAGCCTCCAGCAGCCTCCGTGTTACAGTTTCTACTTTTACTCACACGTACAGCGAGGCTTGACATATGATTACATTTGCACATCTCTTAACATTAACATCAATAAGTAGTATTACGACAACATTAACAATAACCCTCACTTTAATCCCTCTGCATTCTAAATGAGAGGGTGATCGATTAAAGTACATTATATCCATCATATCAGCAGCTAGTTGGCAGCAAGCACCTAACATGACAAATGAAAGACCTTATCTGCAAGACCATTAACATACCGGCACACCCTAAATAGCACCCCGTGACTCAAAGTGTTTTAACCCACATTTGTTAAGCAGCTGCAATAAAGAGCTTTCAGCTATATTCTAAATGACTGTTTATGGACAGGAAATTGAAAAGCAGAATCACTTAGCAGTGAGTGGATAGTCTATTAGCATGGGCGGAATAGACCAGCTTATTTTGTTAAAGCCCATAATACAGACAAATTGGCGCATTACAATTAATTACCACAAACAACAGCAAAAGCACTGTAGATAATGAAGTGTAATGGCAGGTAGTGCATAGCAGGTATCAATTAGACTAATAGAACAAGAAACACCAACTGCTGATTACCTACTTAATGCTGTCATTAGTAATAAAATATTTCCCATTACATCAGCTCCTGTGCGTTATGAGACTGTGCAGTATGAGATCAAAACAACACATGCATGTGGATAGGAGAATGTATACACAGATGCCTTCTGTATATTCAGCTGCAGATCCATAAATTTACTGGCACACAGGCACAAAAGATAAACATGTACAGGCACACACAGACTCCCCAAAATTAAACACCATCTTCTAAATTCATTAAAAGCAGCAACAAGGAATGTTTACTATATTATGAGCTTTTTCCTACTTTAGGATTAATTAAAAACACAGACTGCACCATGTGGTCACTCATTAATACACGGATACAGAAGTAGATTGGAAAGGTGGAGGAGTCAAATTGTATTGGTTGGGCCACGTTCCAGCACGAGGCCATATTGCACAGTGGCTGGAAAGCAATGTGGTGCAGATGCTACTCTATGACAGACAGAGCTGGCAATGAGTCAGTTTACTTTCCAGTGGCAAATGAGGTTTATAAAAAGACTCAAAGGCAGACAGAGAGATTCTGATGTGGAATGCATGGCATGCATACTATTCAGGACAGCGAACTGAGGCGCCACATCCTCCAGCAGCAACAAATAGAAAAGCTCGGGTAACTGCAACTGCAGAATTTGTCATCATATTAGCCCAAATGTTTGAGACTGAGACTGTTTATAAATAACAGTGTAAATATACCAACCAGTTGTTTTATTAATCTGTTACTCTCATTAAGAAAAACATATGAACATATCCTTGCATATCTGTAAAAGCTGTAAAAGCTGAAAATGTAAACACTAATCTATGCGGCATTAGACACAGTGGTCAGTTGACTTCAATGGCAAACACCAGAAACTCAGTGGTTTACATCATGGTTGATACGTTCCCATCAACCGAGCAGCCAAGATTCGACCTTTAAATTTGTTAATTGAATTTGCTACTGCTACCAAGATCTGCACTCTCATGGCACTCATGGCTTTTGTTTCCAAGGATGGGCCCCAACCTTCCAGTGCCATCAGGGCTAGCTGGTTAAGCAGGGGCATTGTTACATTGTTACCCAACCTCTTGGGTCTGATAAATGTCGGGTGCTTGAACCTGGTGTTCAGTTCCTCCTACAGCACCAATTTTACTTCTAAAAAGTGACCCATTTGCCTGCTTCCATTCCAAAACTGCCTCCAAGCCAGTGAACTGGGCTTCTTTGCCATTTAAAGTTCAAGAATAAGAGGTTAAGAATGTTTCAGGCCCAAGACCGAATCATTTGCTATACAAGATCGAACTATGAGATTTGAAGAGCAGTTCAGTAGTGCAGTAATTAGCACTGATGCCTCACAGCAAGAAGGTCCTACGTTTGAATCAAGCTGCCTTCAGTGTGGTGTTTGCATATTCTCCTAATGCTTGCATGGGTTCTTCCTGGGCACCCATCTCTGGCTTCCTCCCACAGGGTAAGGGTCAGGGTAATTGGCAATTCTAAATTTGCCATAGGTTATCTAATAAAAGAAGATGAATGAATGTGGTTGAGAAGTGCAAAGAGAAGTGCACTAGTTTGATTATAGAACATGATTACTACGAACACATTTTGAGCTTTAGACACCAATTTTTAAGAATGTAAGAAATCAGCACATGCCCAGGGCGAACACTTTTTATGATTAAAGATGTTCTTTTGCTATGTGACGACAGTGCAAACAACTGAGTTTATTAAAGATTTATAAATTTATACAACAGAAAACAGCTTCTGGGTTGCCAGGCTGTGGTGTAGAAAAAGAAGAAGAAAAAATACTTCCAAAAACTTGTCACTAAAGAAGCTCATAAAAGTGTACAAAAACAAAACATGAATCAGATCAGCACATCAAACATCCGGTAGGCCCCTTCCATCTAGCAAAAAGCAAGAACAAGGCTTTGTATGGAGTTTATTAAATGCTTTTTTATATATATTTATATGAAAAACAAACATAAGGAAGAGGACTCTTAATAGCACATTAGAACTTTAGAATTTTAACTATGAGCTGTTTTATTTTAATACAAACCAAATGTACTGTATTTGAGTCAGCCTGGGTGGTGAAATGTCTATATTTACTCGGTGCGTGTCATAACATGACAGTATAGCCTGAAGTTTCAACAAGCCGCATATCCAGAGAGAAATATTTCTCATTAGTTTTGCACTGGTGAGCCCATAGCTAATGGAACAAGAATGTCACTCAGCTAATAAAATAGATGGACAATGAGACAGAGTACTCAAGAAACAGTTAATGAGCAGTAGTTTCTCCGTTTTCATTAAAAAACAAAATTAACAACTGACTATAAGTCTGGTTTACTTTCTGGTACATCTAATAGTGCCACTATTTGGTCATGAAACATACTTTGCTGGTTTGAATGCATTACACTAATAGATGTGTGTTTCTGACAGTGACATTTAATTAAATAATAATGAACTTAGCTGGGCTAAGGTGAAAATTAGGCACATAGTTCAGGCAGAGTTGTGTCAGACCTTTCACAGTTTCTAAGGGCTTTGACTGTGTGTTACCTGTCGCATCGTGGTCCTGTGTAGCCAGGCCGACACTGATCACACAGCAGCTCTCCGTCTTGACTCAAGTGGCAGGTTGGACTGAAGCTACCATGGTTCCCGAGATGAAGTTGTTGCGATTGTTGTTGAAGTTTTTGATGAGTTTGGTAGCGTTGTCCCAGTGTGGCAAAAGGCAGGAAGAAGAAGAGAAGACAGAGGCGAGTTAAGGCCATTGTTTGCCTCCTCATATACACATTCACACCTGTTTCTCTGCTTTCTCTTCCCAGTCCCATTCGCACTTTGAATGACACATTCACTCACACACACATTTTAATTTCCTCTCCGTTTTGCACACACACATGCACGCAATCCTGACTACGAAAACCCTCTTCCACCCTACAAAGTGTAGCCTAACGAACTAAGGGACAGAGAGAGAGAGAGACAGCGACAAAGTAAAATGATAGTCTCTTTCCCTCTTTCTCTCACCCTCCCACTTCCAAAAACTATAGATAGTTCTGCTGGCTCAGGTTCCAGGCACCAGACTGACTCACTAGCTGACTGACTGGCTCATTAATTGTGTGCTGGCTCACTGAGTTACAAATCACATTTCGTTGGCCAGAGTATGCGGACAACAAAAACTGAAAAACACTTTCTGCATAAAATGTAAATAATTCATAGCTGTATAAGAAGAGTTGTATAAAGTTGTATATAGCCAAATTGCAGCTGTGCTCATTTTAATGCTTTATTGCTAAGTGTTTACTGATGTCACAGAGCAAGGAACCTGAGGAAGAAGCTATTTTGCGTCACACGAGTTGCCCCCTGGTGGTCATTAAAGTGATGCAGTTTTAAAGCACCTTTAAGGATTGCGCTTTTGTGTTTCTTATCTGATTTTGCCGTGTGGATCATTAGGTGAAGGAGGCTGCTGCAGTTTAGTGGTATTGCAAGGGCCAGGATGGGAAGGTTGTCACTGGTCTGCAAATATATCTAGGAAGGTAGTATCTGCAAAATTAACATTCACACAAATTGCAGGAGACATGAATATTCTCCAGCTGAATAGTGTAGTGAAATGAGAAGATCAGTGTTTTTACTTAACCTGGCAACAGTTATACAGCCAGAAACTGAAAATGAGACTACTGGTTGAAACTAAGGCAGAAAAAAATCAAGGGTAGACATACTGTTATATTTTGCCTGAAGCTGGTACTATAGTATGCTGATATATCAGATCAAAGCTTAACACCAAATCCTAAAAATCAGAAATGTGTGAATCACTTTTTAAGACATCATCAGGAATTATTTGGGAAAGGCTCCTGTTAAGGTAGCAAAATCATAAAAAACACATTTTACTAAAATAACATCTTTAAAGCTGATAAACTGATTAATACCAAGATTAAAATACAAATAATAATAAAAATAACAGAAAAAAAGCAGGCCATGTTATACTTTTTGGAAAAATTTGGCACAATTTTAGGTCGTAATGGCAGTGAAAAATGCTTAGTGAAACAGACATATACAGTTTTATCTGCAGATTTTTAAGGCCTGCGTGGATACATAATTGACTATTAACTTCCATTCAACTACAGTGATTTACATTTTAAAAAAAAAAAAAAACACACAAAAAAGACAAAAACACGTCCTTGGTAGTTAGAGAATTAATCCCAGGCATAAATTAAAAAGAACAGCAATCAAAAACAAAACAGTTTTTTTTTATTGATTTGATTAAAATCGCCAGTCTTCTCCCCTGTTGACACTAATCACTTCATCAGATGTTCATAAGAGCTCAGACATTACAGATAAGTGGAACAATCTAACTAGCTATTTTGGTAAACATAAGGGACTGGATGGCTATTTTGAGGGGGTGAAAGGCATGGCTTCTCAAAGCTATTATTATTGCCAGGGTGGTGTGGAGGCCGGAGGTATCAGAGAGTTGTGTCTTACTTTAGCGCTTAGGGTTTTGAATATGTCACGTCATGACTGCATGAGAATTCTCAGCTGTTGCTGCCTGTGTTGTTTGTCCATGCAAGTCCCATAGAGCATCACACCCTGGTCATTTAGAAAATCTGCGGCTCAATAATATAATAATATAAAAACTGTCTGAAGTTGATCATTTCTTACATTTACTAAAAATTAACTGCATAATTTATTTTACAATTTTTGCCTTTATAAGATTGGACTTTGTATGAGCGTCTCTCTACACCAATTCCAGTGATACTATTATTCATATATTGCTCTGAGGAAGACCCATTTTGCATTTGCAACTTAACCATGGATCTCAAATTCAGCTTCAGTATCATACTAACCCTCCTTTTATCTCAAGAACCTTTACAGGAGATGACGGCTGGCTCTGTGACTCAGAAACCAAAGAGGAGTTCTCAGTCAAAAAGTCAGAAGTGCACAAGTCTAAAGGTGGCACATCAAATCAGAAGCACGAGTAGGAGCACGCTCATTATTTTTTGACAGGGTTGTGCCCTGTGAATTTGTCCTCCATGATCAGGCTTTCAACAAGCAGTCTACCGACACATCCGGAGGGAGGGCACTCCACTGGAATAGCCCAAACTATGCCAAAAGTGTGCTAGAGTACAGCATGTTTTTTTGGCCACACCAACACACCTTCACTCACTGCTAGCAGCATTTCCCTTATTTGCCTATATGAAATTCAAGTTGAAATGTTGGCTTTTTGACACACTAGAAGAGCGGACATTGCGTGCACTGCAGAGAGTGCCAGGATACAAAATTGGACTTCCAGGGAGAAACGTAATAAACATAATAACACTTGCTCTGAAGTGCACCAGAGATGCATGAGGAGGACACCTTGAAGAAAAGATTATTCAAATTTACACCGGCTGGTAGTTTTGATTTTAATGACTCCACTTTGTGAAAACATCTTTGCAAAAAAACCCCCCCAAAAACTCAAAACAACATAAAATACTATTAAATGATGTCATTTATGTACTATGTGTATGCTTCATGAATAAACCAAATCAGACGTGTGTAAATAAATTCTTATAAACGATGATTTTTTAAACTTTATCAACACGTGTGGTCCCAGAGGGAGTTCAATTTAATAACCGCATGTAACCAAGCAATGTGCCTACCCCTAGACAACATATCAATGTGTATGCTTTTTTAATAGCTGTGGTTTAAAGGTCTTCATGTCTGGTAGTATTTTTGCATCTCTTTGGAAAACTGTTGTGTGGTGTAATCTGAGCATCTGTCATTCAAGTCTGTGATGTAGCCACAGCATGAGTAGCTTTCCATATGAGAGGAATATAATGCTAAAGGGTTTTCAATCCCTTAATGACTTGTGGGAGGTTTGCATTTTCTACTGTGTTAAGGCTCCTAGTAGAAATTATGTTGATTCTAACAGCGACAATGACATTTCCACCCACAGGGATAATGTTTCTCCACTTATATTTATGAGTCTACCTGTGGTGATGATATTTCCATTAATGTCATTACAATTATATTCCCACCGAGAGTGATGAAGTCTCTAGTTGTGGCGATAACCTCTAAAGACCACACACACACACAAAAAAAACATGGTGAGAGTGTCAGGAGGAGACGGGAGATTATTAAGAGAAATAGGGACCGCAGAGTCAGGTGGGTCAACAGTGATAGATTGAGGCATTTGATTAAATTGTGCTGCCCTGGCTGCATTAACCCCAGGGTCTTCAGAACCTACTTGTTGCTGGGAATATTGAGCGGGCAGGCACAGGGTTGACAGTCCGCAGGTGACCCACGGGTGGCGTTGCCATAGTAACCTGGCAGGCAGGTGTCACAGTAGGGGCCAGCGGTGCTGTGGGAGCAGTCCTGGGGGAGAAAAATGGGTTAAAGTTCATTTGAGTCAGGAGAGCAAGTCAATTTCTCTGAGGATGCAATTTCAAAGATAAGTTTAAGCAGTTTGTGCAATGATAAAAATACCTCAACAACATTGTGCTATTGTTCTGTTGAGTCATTTAGGAAGGAAAAAACCCCAAAATAAGACCAATTTTTTATTTTCAAGTAACAAGGAATTGTCTTGGAAACAAAAAACCTCTCGAGTATTTGTTTTATTTATTTTTTTTAGCTGTGCACATGTTATACACATCTGCAGATCAACTTTGCATCATTTCCAACAGTCAAAAATGCTAAAGACAGACAGGATTAACAACGAACTGAACCTGTACCATACTGAGTCAAGCCATACATGTGCAGTTAATAGTAAAAGGGGATGATTTAAGTTGAGACTTGGAAGAAAAAGAAACTAGAAAGAAGGACGTTAGAACAGATCTGCTTTTTTTTTAGCATAATAGTTTTTTTGTTTCTAAAAGTTAAAGGTTAGAAAGATAAAAACTAAACAGTTCACACCTTTGGAGCTTTATGCCATTGTGGGGGTGGTTTGCATACAAAACTACACCAGAAAATCCTGGCAACACAAGCAACGCCAGCAGAACCAGATTTTTGGAAAAAGGTGACCTCTGACCTTGACGCACCTATGGTATCAGTTTGAAAAGCCTAGGTGACATTGGTCGCAGTTTATTGTGCTCACAAGATTTTCTGTAAAGTTGATCTCTGACCTTTACCTTGAGGTCAAGTTCACCGAGATTCAAATTTATCTGAAGATTTTAGTAGATGCAACTGCGATATGAATTTGAAAATCCTACGTCACCTGGCTCTCCAGTTATCACATTCACAAACTTGTCACCCGCCAGGCAGGGTGACAACAATATGAGGTCTAGGTAAATGAGGCAAGTAAGATGAAAACAACTGCAGACACACACATATAGCCGGGTAAATGATGACTAATTGGAAACAGGGATGAGGAACGCCACAGGTGAGACTAATCAGGGCAGAGCATACAATCACAAGGAAAACTAACAAAGACAGGAAATAAAATCAACAACATAAACAGACAAAGAATTCCAAAATAAAACAGGAAATGGTTTAACAGAAACCCAACATCATAACAGTCAACCCAAGAATATTTTACCTGCAAAATTGTGAAGGCTGCAAACAATATAGTTAAGGCCAGATTTAGTGGCAGTACAAAAAACTCTCTGAAATTAAAAATCGACAGCCCTCGATACCCAACGGTTTCTAATGGGAGGCTTCACCTTTATATATTAAAACACAGCGATGCTTCTTCTGTTGCATCTTTTTAATCTGAATTAAGAAGTTGCTTCCAGAGAGAAACTCAATATTAAAACCTGCACTTATACTGTAAAACCTTCTACTTCCATTAGTGCTCTTTTGTAATTGTGGCATCGCGACTTATTTAATAAGACTAAATTCTTCAACACTGAGAACGTAAAATAGAAAATCTGAAGATTTCCGTTTAAGAGTTTTTAAACCGTAAAATTATGCTGTATCTATAATAGACAGCTCTTTCATTGGCCAAAATCTTGGTTGTTTTCATATGTCCAGCTGAAGCGCCGGTGGTACTTCTGAGCTAGTCTGTGCATTTATATGTCACCTTATTCCAAATCATTTTTTTTTCAGCTCAAACGTCCCATATGGTGAAACACAATGTGACACATACACAGTGTGTTAACCTGTATAACCATGGCATCATTCAGTCATTCAACCCGAGCTGGAAATCAAATTCCTCAGAAAAGAGGTGTGTTTGTGTGCAGATCTGTCTGCCACTCACTGTGTATGAATATGTATACAGAGGTTGTTTATGTGCTGTGAGTGAGTTCACGTCAAATTGTCTTCCTCTATGTGTGTGTGTGTGTGTGTGTGTGTGTGTCAGAGAAAAAGAAAGCGCCTCCCTGCCTGTCTGTCTGTCTTTTTCTGTGTGTTGGCCTCCCCCTGACACATCCCAGCATCCTCCTCATCTATAATGAAACATAACATGGCAATACAAAACTCATAGATCGCTGTGTATGTGTGTGTTGTGTGTGTATTCTGTGTGTATTCTGGTGTGTATGTGCGATGGTAACTGACAGCTTAACCCTAAGGCAATGTGCAGACTGGGGTGGGTGCATGTGAGCAGATGCACATAAGAAGGCCAATCTGGAATGTTTATTCATTTCACACTGCAATTCCTGCCTTCACCACTAGATGGCAAATCCAGGGAGACTTCAACTAATAAGAAAAAAACTCTTTTGTATACATAAAAGTTAATTTATGTATTCCATATTAAGTCATGCATTTAGCTTCCGAGTGTCTTTCATTTCAAACCTCTCACACTCAGCTAACTCAACCAATTTTGGAAGATTTTCTGCAATTCCTCAATTAATTGGACACATTTTAAAACAAAACACTGAAAAAAAAAATATGAATACATGTAATCCATGGCTTCCAAATAAACAATTTAACTCCCTTAATTACTGATTAAAAAAAGAATGTGGTTAATGAAAGTATTGAGACTTTTCAAAACAAACAAATAAAGAAAATTGAACTCATTAATCATTACTCTTTATTACATTTTAATGATGATAAATAGGGTTAGATCTTTGAGTATTAACTTACACATAAAACAAACACATAAAAGCAATAATCTGACCGAAAATAAAATTTAAAAATAAAATAATAAATACAAATGATGAGAAAAAGAAACAGGTAACATAATTCACCCACTACTAAGCTACTTACCAAGCAATGCCCCGTGACTTCATGGCATTGTGTTGTGTGTCCATGGCAGTGACAAGGTTCACACACCCCGTTATACAGATTCCCGTTTACCCTCCGAAAACCAAGCACACACGCCTGAAACACACAGGATCACAAAGTTAGAAAACACAGAAAGCCAGACGGAGTGTCTTTCTTCAAGCTGCTGTAGCGTAGAGTAATTACATGGTGATCCTCTAATTAGCACCTCAAGTGTGTGTGTGTTTCTGAGTTCAACACTTGGAATATTTTTCGTGTGCGCTTGTGTGTGACTTTCAAAAGCATGATGCTGTCAGCTAAAACAACAGCACATCAGCTGCATTCTGAGACTAAATGGTAATTTCCTGTTATTGTTTACAGTTTTCTTTGAATAAAGCAAATCAAATCTCCATGAGACAAATTTAGGAATCACAATAAAATTTGAATAAAATCATGCTCTGAGGTATGTTTGGATGTTTTAGACTAGTTAAACAGTCCCCAGATAATATAAGCTGATCCATAACATTTCCAACCATCTGTCTGAGGAGCCTGGAAAGAAATGGACAGGATTTCTTTAGGTTTCGTGGAGATGTTTCATCTCTCATCCAAGAGGATTCTTGAGTTCTAAAGAAAGTTCCAGGTATTTAAACCAAGTCTTCACGGGACTTTAAAAAGTCACTTTCTTTCTGAGCTCATTCCAGCTACCATGATCTGGATAACTAAAAGCTACACAGACAAACATCTTTTCACTTTGAGTACAAATCCCATCTGGAATATGTGCGTGGACATAAGGTGTTATCATGAATCAGGACACTTCTTTTTGATGTATTTATGAAAAACGAATGCACTAAAATTCCACCTGAAGTGCAGTCAAGTATTACCAAACATAATATACAGTATATCCAGGAATCAGTGCACTAAATGCCTGTAACACAAAACATTTACTGAAAGAGACTGTCGTTTGTATGTATGGGTGTCTAAGCCTTCAGTTGATGACCTCTGCTTGTGCCTCACAGGGATTATTTGTACATGTGTTAGCATTAGCCACATTTAAAAGTACACATGTGATGTTCTAACATAGAAATACACACCAACATCATTAAGTGACTGCGTACATTTCAGTGCGGGTTTACAATCTTTTGACTAGGTACTTTCTTGCACTGGAAATTTTTCTAATCAATGTTTCTTTGTGTTTGAATGATTTTTTTTGGTTTATTTTTGCTTGTTTGCAGTGCAGTGGTTAGACCTGCCATCTTACAGCTACAGCCTCCACAGCCTTTCTGTGTGGAGTTTGCATGTTCTCCCAGTGGATGCATGGGTTCTCTCCACAGCGCTACAATCCAAAGATATGCAGTTACGCCAAACAAAACTGAACCACATCTATTCATCAATGCCCTTTCAGTGCAACAAATGTTGCTCCGCTGAGGCAATGTTCACACGTCTTATTCGGTTCTGCATGAACTCAAGACTATAAAATATTTTCCCCACAACTAGAAAAAAAAAACAACCAAACTGTCATTCATAAGTTAAAATGATCTAAAAAAGTTAGGTCTTAGCAATTCAAACGTCTGAGAAAGCAACGTATTGTTATTATTGAAATTTGAAAGAAAATAATAACCCCAAATTTTGACTTATGGCTAGCAAAAAAGTGTTTGTCAAAGAATGTGTGTTTCCTAGGCAGAGACAAGCTTCCAGGTTTTCAGCAACGCTCTCCAGAGAAATTAAAGCTAACCACAACTTTCTTCATGTTCTGCAGAAAGCTTCAGACTTCCGCCTAATGTCCAGACGGCTCTGTATCCAGTAACTGTGGTTGATTCTTTTAACTTGTAAGTCTACCTATCCACCTTTTGCACATTGGATTGGATGTTATTTTGTCATACAAATGGAATAATTAGGTATGTGTAATATACCTACTTCTATTCAGGATACATTTTGTTGAATTTCTTTCAACAATGCCATCTGAAGCAGAGATCTTTACTAATCTCTTGGCCTGATTGGATATTGAATTTAGTTAATCAGTTTTGGTTCTGTTCTTGTCACATTTGCTTTTAATCCCTTCTATATGTTTTATTGTCTGGTAGCATCTTGTTTGTTCTATGTGCTTGTGTCTATATTGACTGTAGGTATAAATGTTAGTATGAACGGTTGTCTCTATGCATTAGTGCTATGTATGTAACCAACCAACCTTGTGTGCCCATTGGATAAGCCGTTAACACAAATGGATGAATGGTGTGTATTTACCTCACAAGAAGTTCCACCATATCCATAAGGGCAAGAGCACACTTCTACAGCTGATGCTCTCCTCTCTCCTCTGGCAGCGGGATTTGCTACCTCCATAGAAAATGAGTGGAGTCTGCACACAGAGGGCACAGAAATACAAATATCAAGCAAAATCATACAGCATACTGGGAGTCTGTCCGCCTTCACAGTTAAACATACAGCTTGTGTGTAAACAGGGCAGTTTTGCTGATAAGTCTTTTAGAGGTTTTATGAGTCGAGTTCATTCTCTCAGGCAGATTTTACTCTCAGACGGCAATAAGCTTCGCCTATAAAACCACCATCTTTATGTTTAGGTTGCACAAGGTTAAAGCTGTGATATTCACAGGCTATAAGAAGGAGATGCCTCAGAGTCTTGATTCTGAGCGAAAATTTTGTTTCCTACAGCTAAATGAGACTAAAAACTTCTGATTTTACAAGCTTAATTTTAATATAATGATTTATTTTACAGCGTATGATCAATACGTCATGATGGCACACTTTGAAATGTGTATATGTTTGCGTACCCACCTGTAAACAGCGCTGCGTTCTGTGCTGTAAGAGGCCCGCACCATCACACTCGTCACTTTTGCCAGCACAGACAAGAAATCTCTCCGACTAACTGGCTGTGCCGTCTCTGAAACCCGGAAGTTCTCTGGCAGGAGAACTATGTGACTGGTGCTGGATGAGGACGGGTAGACAGGCTCGCCAAACCTTTTGTAATTAATCTTCATCCCTCCTCCCTGGTAGAGCAAAAGAATTACAATTTGAACTTTTAATCTCATAAATGTAAAACATCGGCATTCCCTCTGTTGCTTTTATGACAGCACTGACATGTGCATTTATAACTTATCTAAAAAAAATGAGTGAGAGTGAAAGATGTGTCATTAGGTAATGAGCTCCAGTTTATATTGACATACTGAATGGACTAAATGCAAAGTAAATTGAGCCCAGGCCTGGTATCTGACTATCTCTTGTTGAGAACGGATCAATGGCATGTAGTGGCTAACACAGAGTGACAACTACTTATGGAGGGAGAGAGTGAGAGAGAGAGCGAGCTTACTATGCCAATAAACCATTAAATAAAAACTAATTGAAATGGGGGAGGTGGGGGAGTCATAAAGACGGTGAAACCAGCAGCACAGCAAAGAGATGCACAAAATCAGAGGATGACAGAGACAAAGAGGGAAAATGATAGAGTCAGCTCACTTTTATCTACCAGTAAGAAAATTAATTCAGTTAAAAAAATCCCTTAAAAAGACAAACATCATTATGTTGGTTCAATTCTTAATACTTTTTAATACAAACATTTCACTGCTTACTTAGATCACAAAGGGTTTTACAAAGTTTTTCCTGAAACAAAATGAGAGGCGGCTCAAGACTGCGTTTCTGTGTTTACAGCATTCTTTTCTTTCTTTATTTACACACTTTAACTGTGCTAAAGTGGACTGATTGAGTGGGCATGGATCGAGAGGAAGGCACGGAAAGCAACAAAGCCACAGAGCCATACAAAGACAGAGAGATTATTATCTATTCAGATGCCGACTTCTTGCGAACAACACACAAGTTTCTTCTTGCACTTCACAAAAACAAGCAACAAAAAATATTACAACTCGATGCAGATATGCAGCGTAAACAGCGGGGCAGAAAAAGAGGGAACAAAACGAGACAAAGGCTGAAAGAGAGACAGTGAAGAGGGAGAGAGCTGGCTGACAGTGTGTAGGTGGTTCATTATTGTCATCATTTGGAGAGGCTTTTTGTTGACAACAAGACCGACACTTGTCCTCCTCTCCTTCTCCTCCCATCTCCTCCCAGTCTGTCGATCTCACTGACACATCTTTAAATAACACAAGCTCATTGGTCTGTGACTATCCGTCTCACAATTTTCCTTCTTCCTCATTCTCGCTTTTGTTTATTTCCACGTTCCGTTCTTCACTGTTTGTTTCTTCTTTTCCTTTTTTTATTTTCACTTCCTTTTGTGTTGTTTCACACCCACCATTCTTCCTTTCAATCTTTCACTACTTTTTCCTTTTTTGTCAATTTCTTTCTTTCCCATCTTTTATTTCACTTTTCAGTCTGCCCTGCCTTTATTTGATTCAAAGTCTCTTTTTCTTTTCATTCCCTCCTTTTATGGCTTTCTTTCCGTGCCCTTTCATCCATTCGATCCATTCTTTCTCACCTACCGTACACAGTACATAAATGCATGCATTGTTATGACACATCCAAGATATGTCATTAAACAATTGGTTTTTTTTTTGCCTATATTAAATTCCAAAGTCCAGCTGCAGGACAAAGAATATCGTATCGCCGCTTTCTCTTTGCAATCAGTATGTGAGACTTAGGTGCTTTCACATTTACTGCAGTTTATTTTAGATCGTTTCTGAAAACCCTTCCAACTATTCTAATTAGAATTCCCACTTCTTCGAACACTAGAAAGTTCTGTGTGCAAAGTAACTGGATCCTTTCTACAGCTCCAGCACAGAGGACACACATACACACCAACCTGTGTATTGTTTTGTGTGTACCCCATGCTCTCACACATACACAGACACAATGTTGTTTAGTGATATGAGAGATATAAACAGTTAACTAATAGCGTGGCTGCTTTGCTTATTGCTGCCATACATCATATTGCAACCTGCTCATTATACAGACATACCGGGAGAGAAGGGGCGAGAGAGTATATCTGCATTTTTTATTGCTAAGTTCAGCAGTTCTCCTCAGGCTGCAGCTGCTTGCGTGCGTGCATGTGTGTGTGACTGTCTGTCTTTTCTTAACTGTTTGCAACTTCATTTAGTGGTCCTCATGGTCGCAGAAAACAGCGCAAAAACAAGTATACAAAAACAGAAAAAGTCACACTTGAGTTACTCTGACACCAAAAATAATGTATTTGCTGAGTGCTGGGAGCAGTCCTTGTCAACCCCTTTAACTGAAATAGTCAGTTCAGTTGGATCTCATTCCTGGGCTCTACCGCATGGCTGTTCCTGAGGAGTCTCCCAAATGCACCAAGACAGTGTAATATAGGAATCAAAAAGTAAAACAAAAAAAGACACAATTTAAACCCATGCATATAGATTGCATGGATATGTTGTTTCAGGCTAGAGTCACATGGGCATAGAGAACAGTTGGGGACTCCCGGAAACCACAGATCACTAGGAAAAAACGTGTATTCCCTTACTGGTCGCCTAGTGGCTGCTAGAGGTCCTTCCAACTATTCTAAATGAAAAAGTTCCACTTCTTCAAACATTGGCAGAAATTTCTGGCTGTTGTTGGGAAACCAATTGCTAAAGCTCCAGTCATGCAGTTCCCCTAGCAACCACTGGCATTTGCAATCTCCAACCAGTTGGCAAGTGGTTGCTGGAGGTTGATGGCTGTTGCTATGTGAAATCAGTCTCAGCCCTTATTGTGGCTGTGGATTGAAGACCGCAACTTGAAATATTAAACTAAATAATGTATTAGAGTTCAAAGGCTTCAAAAGGTGCTGGTTGTAGCGGCAAGGCACAGCTTTCACTTTAAGTGTGAATGTTCTCAGTTTCCAGTCTGACTGTTAATAAGCAGCTTGCAAGTGATTGCAGACAAGTCTGTGTCCTCCATGCAATCTGATAACAACCACCAATAACGACCAAGATTTATTCTGCAGTTTCACTGGGTGACAACCAGCAAACACTCGCCAACTGCTTAGGTAGTACACATTTTTCCCTATCAGGTGGTGGTTGCCGACCAGTCTCTCCATTACCGTGTAGCATGTTGACAGTAGTTTAAGTTTGCAGCTACAAGTAAGTAGTGAATTGTTTAAAAACTTACCTCTATGATTAAGTCAGGCTCTGATGTGACTCTGATGCTCACTTGTTCTTGCTGCTCTACAGTATAAGACACGGTGAAAATAACATTCCCACCGTAGGCTGAAAGCTGCAGAATGACAGAGGCAGACAAAACAAGTTAGAAAGTCAAGTTTGTAATAAAAACAACACCTTTTGACCTTTTGATTTCCCATGCTTCGTAGCTCATTAGACTTAGCTCACTATTAGATTGATTTAAAGGTCCATGTTTCTACTTTATTTGACGCTAATAGAGCGCACGGATTAAAAAGCGAAACGTGACCAAAAAACCATAGTGAGAGAAAAAGTGACAAAGAAAAAATTTGGATGTAGAGGCAGGTTAACTTAAAAATGTTGAAAATGTTGACAAAGTACATTAGTAGGAAGAAAAAAAGCCTAATACACTGTTTTAAACTAATCATAGTCTCACAGAAAGAGGTTTTTAGAAAATGCAAAAAATGTTATCTAGTCAGAGATTTTCAGAAAAGTTGTAAATAAGTACAAGTCATAGACAAACCCACAATAACACAGAAAAACCACAACGTCTTCATCTAATAATGACGTTTTTCCCCTAAAATAGTTTTAAAATGCTGAAAACATGAAGAAAGCAGGTACGTGCTACAATCTTTGTTGTCTCGAGTTGTTTTGGTGCAGCGTTTCTGTCGAGTCCACAGAATGAGCTTTAGCTGGAGAAGTGCTGCATCGGCATGATCCTGAAATTTATTATTCTGCTTCAACCTGAACAGTAATGGGTGGGAGAGCGAGATAATAATGCCACCATAAAAACAGAGAGAGGGGGACATTGAGGATGAGGGGGAGAGAGACGAAGAAATAGAGCTGGAGACAGAAAGACAGAGCGAGTGAGGTAGTGAAGGAGGACGAGTTAGGCTTAATGCCTCTATAAACCTCTTCCATTCTACATCATTACACTCACTTTTTAAACCACGAGGCGGAATCACCGTTTTCACAACTGACTGAAAAACCACACACACACACACACACACACACACACATACACAGATATATCCACACCAGTGTGCCTGGAGGTGTACTTGGTGGATATTTTATTCTATAACACTTATCCTCTATCTACCTCCATTTGCCGATTTGGACTCCAGAGGACAGTAAAATCATAGTTTAAACCCACACAGCCCACACACATCAGACACTTGTGCTGCCCGACCTCCTCCTCCATTAGCTAATCAGCCCTCTAGCATGACCACTGCATACACGCTTAGTTTCTCATGCAAAAAGAAAAAAGTCTGAACTTCATTCCAGTGCAACAAAAAGGACGATAAGCTACGCATCCACTTCCAATGTACTCACTAGACTACAGGTGTAATAAATGGGATCAGGGCAAGTAGACGGGAAAAAGTAACTTTTGGTGATCTCGTCACTTTTTTGAACTCGTTGTGGACACTACAGCTACCAGCACTTAAAAGATAAAGCAGAGACACAGATCCTGCTAAAAAAGCACAACACAAACTTCATACTTTGACCAATTAACAAAACTACATATATTACTGTGAAAATTTCATAGCATGCTTTTAATTATTTATTTTACTTAAACCCGCATTATTTTATTTCCATGTTCATTTTGGTCACGTTGAGAAAGCACGAGATAATATAAATACAACATTTGAGAATTAGCATTAGCATTAGAAATAGGGTTTTTTTTTGGTAAATATAGGGAAAAATACAATCCTAGTCCCTATCCTTAATGGAAATATCTGGGAATTTAGAGACCCCCAGTGTGTTAAACAAGTAGTCAATAGGTTTGTCTCGTCATTCACTGATGCTAGACAGTGTATATAGGTTTTAACCTTTTTTGAGGCATCAGCAGTTACTTCATGATCACAAGCCTAACTCTAACCCTAGGCAATCAGAACATGTAGTTTTTGTTTTTATTAAATTGTTCTCCCAAGTCTTTGCAAGCAGGGAAAAAAGAAAATAATCACTGTAACAGGGTTAGGGTTGGGGCTTTTCATGAGAAACAGCTGCCTGCTGCAGATGGAAATAGACTGATTAGTGGTGAGACTTAGTCAAACAGCAAGATTTAGACCTTCGCACAACATGCAGATGGACGAGGTTTTGAATTTTGTTTTAATCTTGAATCCTGTTACTCTTTTATTGATCCGCTGTTTTTTACTGTACTCCTTTTTCTCATCTTTCTTTGTCTGTGTGTGTTTGTGTTCCTAATGGTTCTTTTTTTTTGTAATTGATTTTTCTTGAGCATCCTCTGTTAATTTATTTCCTCTCTTGGTTCTATTCCTGCCCTTGTGATTATCTGCTTGACCCTTACTGTTGCGTGTGCTTAGCTTTGGTTTGAGCTGGAGATGCTAAGATTCCAACTAAGGTTTTAGGTGGGAGTGGCCAGAGTGGTCAGGAGTAGATGTGAGTATAGCTTGTGTTGAGTGGTTTGGAGACAAAGACAGAAAGGCAAGCCTGAGATGGTTTGGACATGCACAGAGGAGTGATAGTGGATACAGGATGTTGAATATGGAGCTACCAGTGAAGAGGAAAAGTATATAAAATAGGGTGATGGAGGCAGATAATCCACAGTGGCAACCCCTAAGAGGAGAAAAAAAAGAAGAAACTAAGTTTAGCTTTAGTTTGTTTCCAACACTTTTTTTTAAAATTGTGAGTTTAGCTTATACACCTTTTAGTTTTTGTGAAATCAGCTCGTATAATAAAACCCAGTTTTAGCCTAACATTCTGTCTCTGTCTGCATTTTGGTTAATTATATATAACTTTTTTCTCATCTTACATTTCATTTGCAGTATAAATGTTGACTAGTACAGTTTTCAACACTCCAGATATGAGCTGAAAATACATTATAGTCTCACAGAGCCCTGATTCCCGGGCTTTTTAGCTTGTGGCTTATGAAAACAACATTTGCTTAACAAATTTATTAGACCACTTATCATAAAAATAAGAAAACACAAATATTAAAACTAAAATTACATTTTGATATACCCAAATTTGAGTCAGCATAATGGACTTGTCTGAAAAGTCAGAAATTATTAGAGCAAAAACATTCAATGGCTAAAAATAAATGTTTTGCTCTAAATGATAACTGCAAAAATAACTACAATTTGTCATCCTAATCGGAAAATAATAATAAAAAAAAAACCAGCATAATAAAATAAAATTTTGCTCACTTGTAAAGAGTGTACACACACTGGTTGATTAACAGAGACATAAACACATTATTTTTATTATAATAATCAATATTGTTATTTTAGTTTAGCTGTGGCATCAACACTGGATGTCAGTCTAATAAATAGTACTGTAATTCTGTATGGTTACATCATGGAACCAAAAATCAAATACTGTCTATCTCATTCACATTTGCTGTTACTATAACATAGTGCTTTGTTCACCAGTATAGGAAGTGCAGGCATAGAATAAAATTTAGATAAAAACACAAGAAAGTTGCACAGATCTGTAAGTGCTTCAACTTACTGCTCCAGTTGTGCAAAGAGCTACTACATAAAAAGTGGATTTGCATGTACTATACTTTTTCTTTTTTCTTTCTTTTTACCTGTTTGTTGTGTTCACTAAGCATTCAGCAGGATATGACCTGAAAACTAACAGAAAAGCTTTTTCACTCTGATTCTCCATCCACTTAGGACTCCTGTATTTTGCAATTTACTTCCTTTGAAATTATTGACATTTCTCAGAAAAACTCATTTCTCTGATGCCGTCCACTCAACCTGGGCAACAATCAAAGCTTTTGTCATGGCAACCTGATGACCCATCTCTACCCTAGGGGGGAGTTGAAATACAGAAACACAATACAGGAGAGAGAAAATGGCCAACAGAACAGCACAGCAGGAGAGAGACATACGGGGAGGGAGAGGAGAATCATGTGTAGTGGAAACGAAGGAACAATAAACACTCAGACACACACGCACACACACAGCTGCAAAAGACATCAGTGAGATCCCTTGTGAGCTTGATAAGCCTGTTATTAACTGTATTAGTGGTCAGAATAAGAAGAACAAGACATAATCCCCACTGTTAAAACCCTAATCAAGAAGCTGACACAATCTTCATTAGAGTGAAACCCTTTGTCACAGCCACGGCTATATGAGTATCATACAAGCCATTCAGCTTACTTCAATACTATCTGAGAAAAGGGATAAAGCAAAGTAGTTTCATATCAAAACAGAAGTAGTTACTGTAAAAAAAAAGGGAGCATACTAAAGTAAACATGATGAAATGGGAAGGTGTGCATGCTGCTGTTCAAGTGTGCAACGCCATGAAGGAGGGGGAAACTGGTAATAATGCTCCTGTTTATCAGTTTAATTAAATATTAAGTGGACAAAATATAGAAAATGAGAAGAGTAAAGTCTGGCTTTGTGCCAAGCAGTGGGTTTGGGTTTGGGTTTGGCACAGAGAAGAGGTGTAAGAATGAGTCACTGTAAGTTGGGTGTCTTCAACATATGAGTCACGTTTGACCTCAGTCCTCCTCCAAGGTTCTCAGTAGAGCCCTGGTGTAAGATGGATATGACTTTTCCATAATAATAAGTAGCCTAGTCAGAGTATTATAATTCAAGGGTTAGTCCATTCCAATTTTAGGATACTGTTGTTGTCCAAAAAGAGTTGGATTTGTGCTACAGCTTGACTTCTTTGTGAGTTTTGCAGAAAAAGGCGAAGACATCTTTCCTAAAGAGATATCTGCTTAACAACACCTGTTTTCTCATAACCACATAAAATTATTCAAATTTAGCTGATTTTGTTCCTTATACACACTTTTATAAAACACTACATCAAATTAGTCATTGATAGTTGTTAAAATAAATATGCTACTCATGTTACATTGTGTGCTAATGTGTATATGTATGTATGTAGAGAAATGACAAACTGTATTTTTATGATTTGTGAAATAAATAGAATTGACATTTCCCATCAATCTGCACTCAGACGAGAATGATGACAAAGTGAAAAGAACATGAGAAACACAGCAAACTTCTTAAAAATCTGAAACTGAATGTCTAATTTTACTAATCATTCAGCTTTTACTGTAAAAGTTCAAATTCTAGCCAGATGTTATTGGCTTTAATAACCCTTAGCCCTTAGTAAGGG